CGTGAGGCTTGCTAATTAGACTGGGTAGGCTGTCCAGCAAGTTTGCCTCTGCCTCCCCAAAGCAACTGCACATAACTCCTTTTTTTTTTTTTTTAATGTGGGTGCAAGAGATCAAACTCATGCTCTCATGTTTGCCTAGTAAACACTCTACTGAATGAGCTATCTCTCCAGCCCTGATGATTCCAATTATTAAACCACACTTAGTTGACCTGAATTCTTACATGGTTCTTGAATTCACTCCATTGTGAATGCTACTTCTATTGTTGAGGTCCTTAGTACCTCTTTTTATTTTACTTTAAATTTAATTTATTATTATCATTATTGGGTGTGTGTGTGTGTGTGTGATGTGTTTGAGTGTGGGTGTACATGTGTCACAGCATACATGTGGAGGTCAGAGAACAACTTTCAGGAGTTGTTTCTCTCCTGTTGTAGGATTGGGGGACAAAATTTAGGTTGTCAGACTTTTGCAGCTTGTACTTTTATCTGCTGAGCCAGCTTAGCTGCCCAAGACCCCTATTTCTTCTTGCCTAGCTTTGCATACTGGCTTTTGGGGTAACACTACTGATCATCAATTCAGTGACCATTTTGTGTTTTCCATGAAGGTGGAGTGTGTCCATAGTATTGAGGAATAAACTACCAGCTGTATTGTGTGAACCCCTCCCTGTTCAAACATGAGAGGCAATCAGGTCTGGGCAATGGGACCTGAAGAAAATCTTCTGGAAGAAAAATATGAACTATTGTTCATCCTGGTAGAAAATGAAAAGGACCCATATGAGGAAAATCTTTTTTCTTTTTTGTTTTGGCTATGGCTGCACATGAAGAATCAGCTACAGGAGTCTTACTTTGTAAAGGCAGCCCCAAACCCCGACATTGCTCAACTGACTGATATTCCTTATGTTCTTATTTCCCATTATTTCTGAAAAATAAACTTTTTCTATGTGAGCAATTTTCAAATTTAAGCTTTTATCTTGTTGTTGCTTACATCCAAAAGCATTCCTTGTAGGAGTAGTTTCAGGTGGGGCACCACCTCTTTGGGGTCTCCTGAGCTCATCTTTCATGAGTAGGTCAGAGGAATGATCTTTCTAGTGTGCTGATTCAGCCGACCACCCCTGGCTTAGTGGATGAAGTGGCTCCATGACCTCCACAGCAGTCGAAGCATCATGGATACCCTGACTTCATTTCCAGCCCTGTCTGCCATTATTTCTCCTTTGACTGCCAAGACTATGGCTCCATTGACTCACCTGTGACTCCTGGAAAGCACTTAATACATTTAAGCATTTGCTTTCAACTAATTTCTTTTTTTGGAATTTCACCTGGATACAATTCTCTTTTTCAATGTCCACTGGCAAAATACTGATTTCCAAGTTCATATGTCCATGCCTTCTGTGATGGAGTTCTGCTGATTTTACCCACTACTGTAGGTGGACCCATCAACTCTCTCTTTTGGTTCTCTTAAAGTAGGACATATGTTTTATCAATTGATCATTTCCCATGTAGCTACCAGTTCTCAATCATCTTAGGATCTTTAGCATCTTAGACATGCTGGCAATGTAAGAGATCTTCAATTAATGGCTTTTAAATAGATGTTTGTTGATTGGAAGATAAATTTTTTATTGTAGAGTGACCACTATCACACATTTTAAGACTTTTATTTTGTGTGTATGAGTGAATTGTCTGCAAGTATGCAAGTGCAACCACATTGTGCAATGCCCACAGAGGTCCGAAGAGGGTGTTGAATTCCCTAAAACTGGAGTTATGGACAATTGTTAACTACCATATGGGTGCTGGGAACCAATCCCAAGTCCTTTACAGGAGCAGTCAGTGCTCTTAACCTCTGAGTCATCTCTCCAGCCCCCTAAATCTCATTTATTGAACTGAGGTTATAGCTCAGTGGTCAAGAACTTACCTAAGAGGTACAGGGTCACAGCCTTAATCCCTGGCACGGCAAAACCAAGACAAGAATAACAATAATATGTCCCATCATATATTTTTTTAACATTTCTAGTATATTAGTATATTGAACTTAGAAACAATATTTGAAGTTGATGAAACAGGAGCTCTTTAATTGTGCACATTGGAAGTGGCCCCATTTTGGAAACTCGTGTACATTTCATTCTCCTTTGTAGAAAAATAAGAGAGCAGAATTTTGTCTCTAATCTTTATTCATGTCAGATCTTATTTAAAATGAAAGATATATTAAAAGGAAATTAAAATGATGTATAATTCAGTATTTGAGGATTGTTATTAATGAGAAAAGCATCTTGAACTTTATTCAAATAAATATCCAACAATGACTTGTCTAATAATTGTTATTTCCTAAGTGAAGATCTGTTTTTCTCTTTTTGAAAACCCCTATCACATGGTTCTACTGGGGAAAGATTTGCATGGAAGACGTTTGAATTTCATTTGGTTTGGACTAGTGCTGTTTCCTTCCACGGTTTCCGACAACTGCTTTCCTTTGTCTTGGGTAGCACTGGAGAGTCCATGGAGACTTCTTTTTTAGAGTTAAAGGGAAGTGGAACTGGATATGCATTTAACTGGGAAATGGGAGAACAGTTTATGCAGTTTTCAGCAACTTCTCTATCTAATGAGGCTGCTACTGTACATGCAACTGGGAATGACTTTCAGGAACTCTCGTACCAACTACTCCCTCAGTTCACTCAGGATGTGTATCATGATCATGCAAGGCCAGAGGTCATTTCCTGGGACATATCTCTTCCATGGCATCTAGCCCAGGAGGAGGAATAGAGGAAACAGCCTGAGATGATGGAGCTGAAGCTAAGGAAGGGAAAATACAGAAGTTTTTTTGGTAGCTAAGTAGTAAAAGTAGTATTTGTTCCCTGGATTTTATAATGTTTGTTAATTTTGTTGACATACTTTGTTCTCTTTTAGCATCTTAACAGATATTTATTCTTGTACTAATTTTACACTTATATTGTGTACTTTTTCATAAGGAGGTCTCTCAATATCATACAAAGCTAAGGCTCTGTGAAATCTGGAACCCCTGTTGATAATCACATATCAGAATAAAACTTTCATAGATCCAATATAGGATTATGGTGGCTATTAGGTTTTTAAAATGATTTGTTCACAAACAAAGAGTTTCCTTACAATTTTCTCTTTGTAGAATTTTCTCTATCATTTTCAGATAAAAGTCATGCTGTTCTCTATATAGAAGACTCATGTTTTTTAAAAGATGACAGTATAACTTTTTTATATTTACAGTATTACTCATATAGAGCTGTGTTTGACACCATCAATGGAAAAATCATCATGTGTCAGATTGAGTAGGAGGGTGAGAGAGGAATTTCTTTAAACAGAGCATTATAATTGAACTTTGACATTAGTTCATTTTTTTTTCTTGTTATACAATGCTATTTTTGTTTAATTTCCTTTCCTCCCTGAAATGTTACTTGCATTTTTTAATCAGGAAATGGAGCAATATGATGATGGTAGAAGTGTCATGTAAATTATTCTAAGGATTTTAGGGACTGGCTATTCTGTCGAATATCTTTGTGTTTGGAAATGAAGCTTATTTTAATTCCCTGCTTTTATTTAGGTGCACATCACACGGAGTGTTTGAATTTTAAGTTCTGATTCACCATAGGCAGCTACACAGTTTTATGAAGTAAGGTGGTGGGGCCGCTCTGTAGGTGTTTTAAAAATGCCCCTGCTGTAATTAAACAATTAGTGGTTAGAACGCTGGCATAGTTTGGGATTTCTCCAGAGTCTCACCTTTTCCTCAGATTCAACCAGTGACCCCTTAGCTGCTGATTGAGGGGACAAAGTTACTTCGGGGATGTTAGATAAAATCTGGGGGGCCAGTATGTAATATGTATCTTTTTTTGTGTCCTTTAGCATGATTCTGTTCAGATTCTGTTTCTTGCGGTGTTTTCTTTAAGCTTCATGCTAATTTCTATGATGGGAACTCTCCACCCAGGCAGTAAGGAATACTTGATCAGATTGCATATGATTTAAGACAGTTTTGATCAGTCTTACCCCTCCATTAGTTCCTATTTGTAGACTAAATCTCTAGAGGGACATGGCTTTGCCTCCCTATCCTGGGGTACATCAATGAAATAGCATTGGTTTTATACAGTCACTTGACACTTCATGAAATCATATTTGTCAGGTAATATGGTTTTACTAATATACATTTCTAATGGAAAAAAATCTTTTTTTCTATTTTAACTTTTAAAAAATAATTTTCCATATTTACTTGAAAAAGTGTTTCAGAAAAACAAATCACACTGAATTGACATTTGATATTAGCATCAATCAACAACGATTTTATTTTAAAAAATCATGAATTCTGCCAGTGGTATGGACATGTGCTGTTAGATACAATTCAGATGGGGACTATAAGATTAATTTCTTAAACCTATTTCCCACACAGAATAGCTACAGATAGAAGAAAATCAGGAAATGTTTCCGATAAGCCCTAGAGCGTGTGCCTTAAACACTCTAAACTAAAAAAAGTCCAGAGAATTCTTCAAACTAACAAATGCTAGCTTTGGTTTTGACATGGACTTGGTTTTGACATGGACTTGTTATTTATTATTTAACTTAACGAATCCAGAACACATTACTGATTTCCAGCTCTGGGTTGTGTAAATTCAGAGCATGAGATGACCGCATTAGAGCTCACAACGTCAGAATCTTTCTTGGCGTTACAAAGCCTGCTTATGGAAATTATATATAGGGTCTATAAGACCAAGAGCTTTGAAGTTACTGCAATAATATTTTTTAGGAAGGCACATAATTTGTTTGAAGAAATCTTCTCTCTGCATTATATCACATGAGAGCTTTCTTAAAGACTCTTAAGCAAGAGCAAAACAAATTAATGAGCTTTTAGTAGTGCAAATTGGTGTCGAGAATGAAATGAGGGCCCTGTGTTTTCTTAAACCACACCCCTTGGCCAGGGTATATAGAGGAGGCTCTGAGATGGGGAGTTCATCACACTCACTCCTCTCCTGCCCAAGCTTTCCACTCCTGACACCATGTACTACACCGACTTTGACGGCTCTGTCTTCCCAGGGTGCTACTGGGGCAGCTACGGCTACCCCCTGGGGTACAGTGTTGGCTGTGGCTATGGCAGCACCTACTCCCCAGTGGGCTATGGCCTTGGCTATGGCTACAATGGCTGTGGGCCTTACAGAAGATACTGGCCATTTGCCCTTTACTGATTTGCAGAGACCCTCGAGTCATAGAATCATCTCTCCGTGAAGGCTGAGCGACCTATCTCCAGATTCCAGCTTTCCTGCTCCCTTGCTCATCAACCTCCTTCCAGGGGCCACTTTTCTGACCTCACAGCTGCATGCTGAAGAAAGAAATTAGAAAACTAGAAGATGCTTCAAGCTGTCTCCCACAGCAATGTTTATTGGGACGTTTTCAGAAACCTGACATCTATACTGTCATGCATTACTCTGGTTTCTTCGAGATTCTCCTGCTTCCTGTGATAGTGAAATTGTGGTCATGTCTGTCAAAATATCAATAAATTTC